TGTTTGAGAATACAGCTTAGGGGAAGGAGGATGAAATGCCCACCAATATTTTGTTTTTGTTTCATCAACTGGAGGTTTTATAGGTGAGCAAAATTAGATTCTGCAAAAGTTGTTGTAATTGAGAATCTTATCTTATTCAACTCTTTGGTTCTATTCTTTTTTCTTCTGTTCCTCCTTTTTTTTTTTCCCATCTTCTTCCTTTTCTTATTCTATTTTAAATAATTATTTGTAATGCAAAACTGTGATTCATGTAGAGTTTTAATCTCAGCTGCACCACTTGAAGTTAATTTCAAACTGCAGAGATATACAGTTAGGGCAACTAGTCTGATAAAATTGCTTTTTTTATTTTAGAAAGTTTACAATGGGGTATTAGCAAATTTCAACTTATAAAATAGAGGTTGTTAATAAAACAAGAAAGTTTTCAAATAGCTTTCAAATGACTTAATTTTTTATTTTAAATTTTAGAAAATGTACCTTACTTTAAACACGTGCACACGCACACATGCGTGCAAACACACACACACACAAATAAAGATTTTTGTTTGTTACAATGTAAAATAAAATATTTCTACGTTGGATGCAGGAAGTGAATTATGGTCAGAGGTGTGTGCACACGTGCACCTGTGCACACTGACAACTGGGTCGTTTGTACGGGACTGCCAGGTTCACTTGCTACCTCATATGTTAATAATTGTACCAGTGATAATGATAATAATAAGAGCATCAGATATTTGAGTAATTAATAAGTTCTAGGCAGAGTAGTTTACAAAACTTATCTACTTTAATCCTCGCAACTACTTAATATCAGGCAGTATTATCACCATTTTACAGATGAAAAAACTGAGCCCTCAGCCAGAAAGCAGCAGAACTGAAATTCATACCCATGCCTGGTGACTTCTCTGCATACTACCCATTGGAGCCTTGTAACTGGACACCTTTCCAATAATCTACTTAATGGCCTTCAAAAAAGATTCCTAACAATTCATCCATTCATTCGCCAACAAACTAGACTTGAGGTGGGAGAGCCTAATTTATTTAGACAATCATGTCTTGCTAACAAGTGTTTGATGACATTACCCATTCTGCTTAATTATGCCCTCTGAAAGTACATATTCTCCTCAATGGAGTGAAATTAGGAAAGAAGGCTGAGCAGAAGAGCCAATAAATGAAATTAGGCAGTTCTTCTTATGAATCATATTTTATTAGGAAAGAGTCAATCCAACAAGCACACTAACTAGCCATGTATAAGGCACTATGAAGAATACGCACAGAAATAAGATACACATAGTACCCTGAATAGTTCATTACCATTGTTAAAGACAAGACAACAGGCACAAAATGGAGTCACTTATGCTAAGCACCACATCACCAAACCAAGATGAGACAATTATAGTTTCGGCTCTCCCAGAAATGGAATCTTAAACCAGTCAGTCAGGAATCACCTGATCAGAACGTGTGTAATCTGCTTGATGCACCCCTGCCATCCTCTAAAAGAAAGTAACCTTGCAATAACCAACTCGCTTTTCTGCATAACATACCTTCCTTGTCCCTGCTCCCTTCTACCTATAAAAATCCTTCATTTGGTACAGCTCCTCGGAGCTCTCTTCTATCTGCTAGATTGGATGCTGCCCCATTTATGAATTGTTGAATAAAGCCAATAATATCTTTAAAATTTACTCAGTTGAAATTTGTTTTTTATCATCATTTCCGGAAGAGACAGATATATACACAACTCAAGATGGTAAAGGCAGGATCATTAGCACCATTATTTATTGACCATTTACTATATCCTAGGCACTGTGCTAAGTATTTCTTATTATTTTAAAATCTTACACCAACTCCAATTAATGTTGGATTTTATAGATGTAAAAGCAAAGGGCATGAGACTTATTTAATACTGCACCATCAGTAACTGGGGAAACCTCCTTCAATCCAAAGTGAGCCTTACAGCAAAGCTCTGGTCCCATGTGGCTGGGCTGCTTTGCCCTAGGAGAGACTGTGATAGGTGCTGTAAAGAAGGTAGATGATTGAATTCCAAGGACATCAAACAGAATTGTAATATAAGAATCATTCCCAACCAAAAATAAGTGATCTTGATGTTATCCATTAATCTCCCACATTTTGCTGGAGTGAAAAATTGACTAAAAATGTACACTGGACTTGGTATTCCAGAGATATGAGCATGGACCATGTAGATGTGATTCCAGTGTAGTGGGCTCCTGTGGTCCTGGGCACTTACTCCTTACAGCCTCAGGGGAAGTCCTTGTACATCTGGAAAGTCACTGAGGTTGGAAGAGGAGAGATATTCCATGGGAGGCAGAGAGGTGGAAAGGTAGAGATGAGAAGGAAAGTGGTCATGACCTATCCAAATAGCTACTTGCCATTTTCCAAGAGAACTTTGACTCCTCAGGAACCACTGTAAGGCTCAAATTTCCCTAGCACCTATTATTCCTTAAAGGAGGGGTTGCAATACAGCTGCCTCCAACCCCTAGGAGGCATAAGCCTGCATAACATTTTAAAAATCATTATTTAAATTCATTTAAATAGGGCTTGCCATTTTTTTCTTTCTTTCTTTCTTTTTTTTTTTTGCTGAGGAAGATTCGCCCTGAGCTAACATCTTGTGCCAATCTTCCTCTATTTCATATGTGGGTCACCACCACAGCGTGGCCGCCGATGAGTGGTGTAGGTCTGCACCTGGGGACCGAACCTGGGCCACAGTAGTAGAGTGTGCCAAACTTAACCACTAGGCCATGAGGCTGGCCCTGAGGGCTTGCCATTTTTAATCCTACTGTCTCCCTATTAATTTATACCTGGCCCACTTTGAGTTTTAAACCTGGTCTCTATAGCATTGAATTTATAAACTCTACTTTCAAGTCTCTCCAAGTAAAATTTAAACATGAATAAAATGATCTTCCCAATACATTGGTCAACATAAGTGATCTTCAATCCCTGCTGAGCAAGAATCAAATGGAAGAGTGTTATCAAAAAGCCACACAAATCTAGAGTCTATACACACCTGAAGGTTAAGCTCATTCCACCTCTTGGAATTCAGCCACCAAAGAACTTTGGCCCTAGTTGATCATATTTAGTGCCAGAAGCAAAAGCTTATTAGGAGTGGAAAGAGAGCCTGGGAGCTATTCTCAATGAATGCAGACCAAGAGGCCTGTAGGGAAATGCACAAAAATGTTATAAGTTATCACCATTTCTAAAAAACACAACTGAAAGTATGGTGGAGGTGAATGAGTGAGTGAGTGGAGTTTACATCCAAACTCCAGAGGCTGCTCAATATTCCACTTAACATAGGCTAGGAAGTGAATGATGATGCTGCACCATAACCCCAAACACCTCAAACCCAAGTACTCTTCTCTAAATCCACACCTGTACTGCCTTTTCCACAAAAAGGAGTTATTTTGCCTTAAAGACATTGTGTTAGAGTTGGGGTGTTTCTAACTGACTTATGGACCATTCAACTTAGTCATAACCAAAGCTTCACAAAAGTGTATACATTCACACTAACGGTGCTTGATGTCATAAGGGAAAAAAAGATCCTTCACTAAGCCTATCCATCACCATTCGAACATGTCAAGCCTGCTCTGTCCGTGAACAATTGAGGACAGGTGCATCACTGAACACATTAAAAGGCAAAGAAACGTAGAAACCAAAGGTCCACACTTCAATTTTAATGCTGAGCAGCACTGCACGAGCTTGCAATAATGTAAATCATGCTTGATGGATTATTTTCAAATTAAAAGTGGAACTAGTGTCACCGCATGCTATTTTTCATTTACAATGTTCTGATGTAGAATTCATTTAGTATTTAATAACTCACCATGATGCAAAAAATAAAGCCACATTAGATTAAAATAAGCAAGGTTTTTCCTATTCTAAATTTAACTTGCAAGAGGAAAAAACCCACAAATTGACTCCATTTATACTATTGTATTCTATTTTGGCATCCACACTTTGAAAAAGGATAGAGACAAACTGAATGAGAGTGAAAAATGTTGCTGGGAGAACAAAAGGCAATATGCTACGAACAGTTGAAGGATTCAGAAACATTTAAGATGACGTATAGGTAAAATTATCCCAACGTTTCCCTGGGCTTAACCTATAGGGCCCAGTACTTCAGTCTTACTACTCCTCATTCTCAGTTGTTATTGCTTTTAAATTGCTTATCATTTCCACCAAACTATAGGCTCAGGAGGTCAAGAACCCTTTCTGTCTTGCTTACCTTTGTATCCACTACATCTATCAGTGTGTCTGACAATGAGCAGGAACTTTATATTGTTTTCCTAATGACTGATTGACTAAAGAAGTGATTGTGATTGTGTGTGACCCAACAACTAGAGTTAACTACAACGTAGATTTTGGCTCAATAAGAGATTGAACATTTTCTAACAGTCAGAACCACTTAAAGTTGGAAGTGGCTACTAAGGTGTTTAAGTAGAGGTGAGACCACAAATAAGCATGAGTGCAGTAAACAAGAATCAAATTCTTGGGTCCTGAATTGCAACTTATGATCTTTAAGATGTTTGCTAACCCTGAGGCTCTAATGATTATAACATAGACCCTTCCCAAATTTGGGTCAAAATTTAAACTAAAATCATCGGGACTCTTTTCTGTGATTGGAATTACATAGACAACTTTTGAACCAAAGAGGTTCAACACTCATATACCTTCTATTTGGCTGTACGTTTATCTTACTTCAGTTGAATCAAAGGTAACATGGTATCTGCTTTACTATAAACTATTTTACTTTTTCTGTTTATATGCTTTCTTTCAAAATGTGTGAGCCCAAGAGTTGACTTAATAGATCTGAAGCGGTACTCCTTACTAAAGAAGGCTTTAACATTTTGGCCATAAGGTAGGAACAAAGAATATCATAGGGAATTAATAAAGTTCATTCACCCTCACATCACTGTAATTTATCATAGAATATGATCTCTATACTTCATGAAACCAGTGTCTGCTTTTAATCATAGGGTGGTTAAGCTACTCACCACAAAAGAATAATAAATCTTGAATCCAGGTTTAGCCACAAAGTAGTCATCAGACTTGAATGTAATTTTTAGTTGGTTTGTTCTTGATGTTATCCTTGGAGGAACCTCCTTGTGTCCACACCATCGTCCCCTAATAACGGTACTGGTTTCAGATATATCTTCAACTTCCACAAAATCATACCTAGTATCAATTTGACATAAATAAACAAATTTTGATTAAAGTAGACTTTTAAATTCACACTTTCACTGAGAAATTAAAACTAACATATAGAATTTCTCATGACCTACCATCTGAAAGGAAAATTATAACCCACAGAAATTTTAAAAAGAAAGCTAGTTTTTGGATTAGGTTTTCCAAATTCAAACTTCAGCAATCTATTCTAAGAAAACCCTTACATATATATAGTCATGAAGGTTCCCAAATCATCAATAATCAAAATGGGCTAATTTCTGAGCATCTAGCTTATAAGGTTTTCCTAGAAAAACTAATACTACAATCTATTGTCATATTTTAGGGGATGTAGCTCTAATTACATACCCACATATTTACTATGTAAAGTTTTTCAAACAAATTCTCACTTTGAATTAATTTACCACATTCAATGCTTCCTTAACAAAGGAAATGAGCTATATCTACACAGCATATAGAATCAGCATTCTCACTACAGAAAATAATGGTAAAATAAAATAAATCTCTATCTTCTCTTTTTGGAAACTGTCTTTTGGAAGGATCATATCATAAAATATGATATTGATCATAATGGAAAGCCTATGGCTTTGGAAGTAATGTGTGCTAACCAATCTTGGAAATATCTGGTCTGATAAAACCAGGGTGTGAATGAGCTTAAGACCATAGGTTCACCTTTGGCATTGGTCAGAGAAACAGACTGCTAGGATTAGGGAAGACAGGAAAAGTCTCTTTAGATATTCCAAATAACCATTTGATCCTCCAGGTCCCTCCATAGCATCCCACCTTTCCATCACATAGTAGGACATCTTCAGTGACAGAGTTGACATCTTCCAGGGATCATTTATTCTATTTTCAGACACCTAAGATCTTGGAACATTCTACTGGATGAGCTGAACTATCTGCCCTTTCATTTCTGGGCATCAGTGTCTCACTCCTCCAGTCTACCTCTCCCCAAATGACTTGAGATGCTAAAGTCACAATGCAAATGCTGAACATTCAGGGTGAACAGTTACAGGAGTCTCATATCCATCTTATATTTTTTCTGTCGCGATTGCCAAAGGAATCAGCATGAGAAACATCATGTCTGAATAAGAAGAAAATCCAGTATGGCTTTACTGGTCTTACCCACGCACCTCAGAGCTCTTACTGGATTGGGCAGGCTAATCTAAGGAGAAGGTGAACATAATGATATTGTGACTAAATTTCACTGACAGTGATTTACGAGGCCCTCATGATTTCCTTTGCCTCAGTTTCCTTATGAGCAGGATAAGAAGGTTTATACAATTTTACCAGCTGGATGTCTCTTGGGTGCTTTGTAAATTAATTACTTAACGTTCATATGGTGCTTGGAAGGTGAAAAGCACTAACAAAGAATCATTATTCAAGCAATAAAATATTACAATTAAACATCAAGGAGGCCTTGGAACAGATGGTAGGAAATCAATTACATTTCATTTTATATACAATATATGTAAATCATATTTACTGCACAAAGCATGAGTATACTTGAAATTTTGTTAATAATAAAATAGGTCACTTTCGTTTTTTAAAAATACAGCATCAGTGTAACTTTTACTCTGGATCTAAAGACGAGAAGGCACCATTTTGGTTCCTAGGGAGGGTTCTGAAGCAAGTCTCCCATCTGTCTCTTTCCCTTCCTCCTCTCCTCTTTCCCACCTCCTCCTCTCCCACCTCCCCCCATAAATTTTGAGGACCAGCTAGATTGAATGAACGGTCCTGAAAGGAAACCATCCTAACTTCTATTTTCAAGGCCAGGATGCAGAAAAGCCTCACTCACTACCGGGATCAAACCCTAGCTCAGCAGTGGAGACCCAGCTTCCCTTCCAGTCATCACCTTTAACAATCTTTTAATAGTGTTTTGGTTCTTTTTTTTCCACCATCTCTTTTTTTCCAACACAGAAAATTAGTTCTCCCTTTCAAGGTTGAAAAGACACAAGATCCGCTCTAGTTTATTCTCTTTGCAAATATTAACTGGCTCTTCCTGCGTGTAATCATCTCTGCTTTCTGGCATACATTACCCTCTATGGTCCTAGAAAGTAACAGTCATTGCTGTTATTCTTGAAAAAACAGCAACATAATAAAAGCTGTCAGCATAATAAACATGCAACAAAGGATAGCCAAATTTGAGGCAACCTCTTTTTTATTATTCAAAGAAAAATAAACTTGCTGAAAGGATTTAGCAGTTCAGTAGTTCATTGGCAATGCAGAACAAGTGCATGCAGTAAAGACAGAAGGAAAAAAAATCCACCCCAAGTCTTATACATGCTAATTATAAGTGAATAAGATGTCATGAGCAGACAATTCAAAGAAGAACAGCCAGGGCTTTCTCTGATAAATATGCTAGGAGGGAAGATTATCAGGCATAGCTTTCACCTTTTGCTGCTGACCCACAAGCTACAGGATACAGACCATCCGAGGAGCACATGGACCCTGAGGTTGCCTTCTCTTCCTTCTCACACAAATCTGAAGCCTTAAAACTATGATTATGGGGTAAGGCCCTGAAGGGTCCTTGCCATTATTCTCTCCCACTGCTGGGGGAAATTCTTACTATGCATGGGAGACAGCAGCCTGGGTCAGCTCCTGGAGCCTAGCAAGGGGGCGCACTCCCTAAGCCCATGGCAGGCTTGGACCAGAGCCACAGGATGTGCAGGTGACCTGGGATATTGGATGCATCTGCCTGCTCACAAAGGCTGCTCTCTGCCTGGTCAAGATAGGGGCCTTTGGATCTCCTCCTTTTCTGGGGGTCATGCAGTCCAGCTCTGACAGCCATGGAAGTGAGTTTCTGAGTCATGCCAGGTTATTAGGCCCTCTGCAGCAGCAGTCTATGCTCCAATATATTTTGTCTGCTATGACTGACAAAAGGCTTTTTGAAAAAGAAGTGGTGCATCTTGGGTAGGTCCAAAGGGCCTAAAAGGGAAGTGTGATGTCGTGTTATAAAGTCATCTTTTTTCACCTTGGCATTGTACCCTAAAATGGGTTTTTCTCCCCACTTACCTACAGATATCATTTTCTGCTTCCTCTAATCCAAACTGATTGTCAAAGGCCAGCTGTATCCTTGTTTTCTCCTGGGAATGGAGCCGCCACGTCAGAAGCAGGTTCCTGGGGTAGCTGTTCGGGAAGCGGGGACTCTGCACGTGGCCGTTTCCTGTCACCTGGATGGTTTCGTCTCTTCGGTACAAGTCTGTGAGGTGATTGCTCTCTGTTAGTAGTCACAACTTGTAGAAATTAGTATGTTGCTCCAATTACAGGAAAGCAAAAAAAGAACAGTTTAAAACACATCACATTTCAAAGCACTTCTTGATTTTGTTTAAAAACATAAGAGCAAATGGTAGCCTTCTGGTCAAACAATACATATATTTCTACTATTATCCTCTACCTCCCCAAATTCTTCACAAATCTAGACTTGATGCCTAATACTTTCTACTTTGCGGGCTTTCTCAACATCGTTTCTGACAAGCAGAAATGAACAATTATCTTAGAACTCAGATTCATTTAGATTGGAATTAAAATAAGCAAATAATTTCAAATAGCTCATCCTTTGTCTTTTCCATGTAATACAAATAAATAATTTTTTTTTACACTGACAGTGTAACAGTATATCTTCAGTGATCAGCATAGGAGGTACTCAATAAATATTGCTGAATGAATGAATGAGAGAAAAACAAGTGAAAAGAATCTAATGGTGTTTAAGGGCTACTTATTTTATATTCAGTTGACATTTTCCACTGGGTTTCTCCATCATAAAAATCATATTTTTTTTGCCTTATTTTTTGGTAACTTAAAATGGGTTCAATTCTCATTCTACTTTCTGTGTGTTGTATAATAAAGAATTTGTCTGGTCTTTGTCCTGAGTTCCTGAGAGGAAACTTCTAAACTCTTAGAATTTCCCAAGTGATGGAAGTGTCTTTGTTATTCATGGTAGGCCCCTGGGATCACTCCTGAGTTTATGCTAATGAGGTGATTCACTGTGGGCCCCTAAACAGTTTCAAGATGGGGCTGGCCAAAACAGAAAGACCAACCCTGTGATTAGAGGGTTAGGGCTTTGAGCCATGTAATATCAACCTGACTTCCTAACCTCCCTGGAGGTGAGGGGTGTTGGAGATTAAGTCTAATTATATAGTCAATCATGCATACAGAATGAAACTCCAATAAAAACTCTGGTCTCCGGGGGCTTGATAAAGCTTCCTGGTTGGTGATACACACTGATGTGCTGGGAGGGTGACATGTCCTGAGGACACTAAAGTTTCGTGCTTGGGATCCTCTCAGACCTCACCCTACATGTCTCTTTATTTGGCTGGTCCTGATTTGTATCCGTTATAGTAAAACTGTATTTGTAACCATAGTGCTTTCTTGAGTTCTGTGAGTTGTTCTGGCAAATTCTCAAACCTGAGGGGCTTGTGGGGAACCCTGAATTTGTAGCCAGTTGGTCAGAAGTTCAGGGAGCCTGGGGACCCCCCAAACTTGCAGCTGGTGTCTGAAGTGCAGTCTTGTAGGGACTGCACTCTTAACCTGTGAAATCTGACCTAACCCGGAGAGTCTATATCAGAACTGCACTGCACAGTGGATCCATTTTTCATATCTCCTAATAGCCAGAGCTCTTTGCATTTTAGATTTTGGCTTTTGAACCGCTGCCATAAGCAAACCTCCAGCCACAGTATATCTGTGTTCTCCCACAGAAAATTTACTTCGAAGCCTATAATTCAGCGAACCTGGTCAGGGAGGCCTAAATTGCTGGTGGAAACCACCAAAAAGTTGGGTTGCTGAGGGGGCCTGTTAAAGCTTTCAAAATAAGAGAAGGAGGATGAACAAGGATTTGGCATGTGAAATGCAAAAGCTTCTCTCCCTTTTATAAATGTTCTTGTACGTAGGGGAATTTCAATTTTTTCTTTTAACTCATTCAGTGTTTAAGGTGTTGCACTTGCCCAGTTAGACTTCGTGTGGGGGAGTCCCAGGATGAAGGAGCTGATGATGTCCACACTCCCTGCCTCGAGACTACCGCACTGACTCTGCAGTCGCGTCACCACCTCCAGCGAGCTCAGCAAAAGACAACCTCCTAGGGGCCAGAAACATTTTTGCCAGTTGACCTTCACTCTTCTCTTCCCTTGACCTTATGCTGAAAATGTCCCCGTGAAAATTACTCGTCTGCTTGTTTTGTCATAAGGGGCTTTTAGGAAATGGGTGAAAGCTGTTTTCTAGGGAGACAGATGTGAGCTATCAAGTAGTCAGTCAACAATCATTCATTAAGCACAGACTCTAAACATAATGCGTTGTGGTATTTTCAACACTTCTATCACTTGAGTATTACTTGCACAATTTTTGCCATATTTTCTTAACTCGAGTACTATTATTTACTTAATATTTCTCTAAATGAATATTTTTAATCAAAAGTAAATCTATTCTAAAAGAAAATGTTATATCAATAATGTAAATAGCAACTGGATACCATTTGCCATGAATAGAAGAGAACCAAACATCTAAATATACAACTACTAAATTTTAAAATATCCATCTCAGATGTTCACATTCCTCATTTGTAAAATAAGAGGATTTGGTAGCATATTTTCTCTTTGGCCTCTTTCAGGGATAATATTCAGTGGTTTTATTTTATTTCATTTTTACTGTTCCAGATGCTAAGTTAGATTTGGATATAATTTAAGAATGTTCAAAGAACAATTCCTCTCTTTGTGGACCTGAAAAATAAAGTTGACACTTACCGCACAAGTGTAAACAATGCACAAAGGAATATTAAGGGCTGAGTGTAAATGAATGGTTACTGAGTGGTCGCTCAGGGATAGCCACAAGGACTGACGTGGGGAATACACGGTGCGTGTGTGGGATCTTGGTAAGAGGTCTGCCCAGAGCGGACTCAAAGTGGGCCCTAGTGGGACATATGGGGGGCCACAGGCTTTAAAGGCAAACTCTGGAAATATTTGAAAGCCAGACAAAAGTACCTGCACTCGGTACAGGTGGAAACATGACAGCTCTGGAAAGGGTAAAAGGCTTATGGAAAGAAAGATTAGCCTGTTGGTGCCGGGAAAGATGAACTGGAGGGACAGCGCCTGCATTGGGAGTGTCTCCTAGAAGGTAGCGGCTGGAGTAACAAGGTTCTGACCTGGAAGGGCAGGTAACAGTGAGGCTGCATGAGGGGAAAAAATCAATAGGAACTTGTAGTTAAGAAAGGAATATGCAAGGGGATGAATCACAGGTAGGAGCAACATACTAATCCCAAGGCCTGGGCCCCACGTGGGAACACTGACACACAGGGACGCGGGGAGGGGAAATGCGTTTGAAGAAATGTTTGAAGAAACGTATTCGGTTCTGATGTGGTGATGAGGAACTCAAGTGGAAACTTCAGCAGGCTTTTGGGAACATAAGGCTAGAACAGAAGAGATGAGGCTTCATCTTAGCGAAGAGGAAGCCTTGGGAATCACTGAGCCCTCTGAGGAAGTATCCTGAGATGGGAGGCAAAGCAAGGGGGCAGGCAGACATGCCCAGGGAGGGGCAGGTGACAAAAGGAGTGCCCGGGGAAATCAGAGAAGTGATGGCTGAGAGGGAAGCGAGGACCCACAGCAGTGCAGTGTCCACATCAAGCTGCCCAGGCAAGGGGTGATTTTAAGGACGGAGTGGTCAACGGTGTCAAATGTAGAAGGGAGACTAAGGAAAGACCACGGAATTTGGCAACAACAAAGTCAATGACATCCTTTACAAGTGCACTTGTAGAGATTTCTGTAAGTAAGAAAGGGACTTCTTTTTTCTAGAACATCATTAAAGACTAGATTGTCTTAAACGTACTGATTCAGGTTATAAATGAAATGCCAATTATATTTTTAAGAAAGCTGTGGCGGAGGCAGGTGGAGGGGGTTTTTCCTTCTTATGTAGTTTGATTGAGACAAAACTTGTTTCCAATTTTATAAATTTACCACAGACCTATGTTGCATTATATTGAACTGGAGGCAAAAAAAAAAAAAAAACACTCAAGTTTTCTGATTTATTTTCCCTTAAAAAGAAAATACTGCCAAAATATACATATACACAAACTAAATATGATTAACAGCAAACATTTTTATAGTCCTCATTTTGTGTGAGGCATTGTTCTAAGCACTTTGCATGTTTCATTTATAGGATCTAAACTCCGTGTATATATGACCTTGTGTATGTGTGTGCGTGTGTATGTGTGTGTGACTATATATTCTTATAACAACTCACTGAGGTAGATGTTATTATCACCATTTGACAGATGAAGATTCTGAGCCATAGAAAGGTCAAATAACTTAGCAGAGTCAGAATACAAACCCACGAAATCTGGTCCCAGAGCTGATGGTCTTAATCACTGTGCTTTAGAAGGTGTTCTTTTTTAGTCTGAAATTTGCTAGAGTCAATTTTAGATTCTTTGCTATCTGTAATCAATTTGACTTTTGAATCACACTGTTTACATATAATTTATAACTTTATGCCAACTCAGGGTTATTCTTAGCAGAAGAGTTATAATGAATTATAGATACTACGGAGAGCAATTATAGATACAGAACCTGAGATAACTACCAAGTATTCTATACAAAGTCACATTCTGGAATGAAGGCATTTACTTTGGTGTGCCATATAGCTAACACGTATGGAGCAATTACTATGTGCCAGGCACCTGAATAAGTGGTTTAACACTCGACTTCATTTAATCCTCACAACAACCCTATGCAATTAGTAACATCCCCACTTCATGAAGGATGCTCAGAGAGTTTAAGCAACTTGTGACCTCAGGGCACAAAGCTCATGGTGGAATTAAGATTTGACCCTAGGCAGTTGATCTTACTCTTAACCAGAGCACTGTACTAGCTGTTAAACTACAAAAATATGAAATCTATCATTTTTCATAGAGAGAGAATAATTTCCATGTATGTTTATATGGCAAGAATATAAGTTCTTATTTTACAGTTTAATGAAGACAGAGGTTCACATCCTTATAAGCTTTGACTTATGCTTTTGACTTTTTTAAAAAAACCAATTAAAACGAGAAAAAGAAAAGCCAAAATGTTATATTTGTCTCTTCTGTCCTCAGCCCTTTAAGCAAACTCAGCTCTCCTAAACAAGTCTTCCTGGAGCTCAGGAAAGTCACTGCAGGCACTACCACTTATCTCTGGGATTCTTCTAGAACAACCTTTGTTCTCAAAGTGTGGTCCCCAGACCAGCATCATTAGCATCACC